ACAAAACCCCAGTCACACAGGAAATATTACAAAGATTCAACAGCTGGTATCACATCATATTAAAAGGCTTTGTGCACAGGAAAACAAACCACTAACATAGTGAAGAGACAACCCATAGAAGGGAAAAACTGTTTACCAGCAATTCCTAGACAAAAGACTAATATCTAAAATATATAATGAACTCAAGAGCCAGGTGTGGTGGCACACGCCTGTAATTTCAGCACTTGGGAAGCTAAGGCAGGAGGCTCACCATGAGTTCAAGGCCAGCCTGGGCCACATAGTGAGTTCAAGGCCAGTGTGAACTACCCAGAGAGACCTTGTCTCAAAAAAATTAGACACTCCACATTTAAAGACCCAATTCAGAAATGGTCATCTGAAATGAGTGTTCACTTCTCAGATGAAGAAGTACAAACAACAAATTAATGTATGAGAGAATGTTCATCATTCCTGATCATTCAAGAAATGCAAATCAAAACAGCATTGAGATTCCATCTCACTCCAGAAAGAGTGGCCATCATCAAGAAATCAATCCATAATAAATGCTGTTGAGGCCATGGGAAAAAAGGAACCCTTCTCTATTGCAGGTAGAAGGGTAAACTGGTGCATCCATTTTGGAAATCAGTTTGTACATTCCTTAAAAACTAAAACCAGTGGTTCTTTTTGACCCAGCTATTCCCCTTCTTGGTATATTCCTGAAAGAATTAAAAGCATCATGCCACAGTGATGCATGCACACCTATATTTATAGAGTAAAGTTTTGTAATAGCCAAATCTTGGAAACAGCCCCAGTGCCCACCCGTAAATAAATGGATAAAGAAAATATGTTTTTTATATACAGTGGAGCACTACTCTCTCATAAAGGACAAGCTTGAGACTTTTTTAGTAAATAGATGTACCCGAGACCATTAATCTTAAATAAATTGGACACACAAATATCATATTGTTTCTTTTGTGTGAGAAACCCAAGGGAAATTAAGGAGGAAAATGGAGGATAGATTCTGGGAAGTAGGAAGAACATGTTCATAGGGGAAGAGGAACAGGGGCTGGGAGGGAAGGAAGGGAAAATGCATATAAAATAATAGAACAAAAAGTGGAAGCAAAGCTTATATAAATGGAGAGGGGAAGAAGGGTCAAAGGGAGGGGAGAGGAATGGGGGAGAAAAGAATCGGGATATGCTAGGTACAGGTACTTGAGTCCATACTCTTTAAGTGAAATAAATTGGACACACATTATGTGAATACCACATTGTTTCTCTGATATGAAAAACCAAAAGTGTAAATAAGGACCAAAATGTATAATAGGCATTGTGAAATAGGGGAAAAATCTTTACATGGGGAGGGGAGAAGGAAAGAAAAGAAGGGCTGGGGGCTGGGGATTTAGCTCAGCAGCAAAGTGCCTGCCTGGCAAGCAGAAGGTTGTGAATGTGATCATTGTATATATATAAATCAAAAGTGTACCAATAAAATTGATTTTTAAAAATTTACTTGAGCTTTGAGTTTGAAGTTTCATTTTATGATCATTTGGCTCTGTCTTTGTTCGTTTGTCTTTGGGAGAGGCTGAATATCACGGTGAGGATTGCAGGTAGCACAGAACATAGCAGCAGGAGGGGGCAGAGGAGGGGGACAGGGTCCCAGGATTGCTTTCAAGAGCATAACCCTTAAATGATCCAACCTCTTCCACGAAGCTCCTCTCCTAAGGTTACACGTCTCCTGGTCCTGTCAGCCTAGTACCGCAGGCTGGTGACTAGGCCTTTAGAGTAGGGGCCTTTGCGGGGGTTTTAAGAACCAAATCATGACAGTGAATTACCAGGGTTTTTTTACTTTAAAAAGTTAAGTTGTCTTATTGAGTGATGCATTCATTATATATTCTAGACACACATCATTTATCAGGTAATTACTCTCTTTAGTCTAGACAGATGCCCTTTGATAGGTGATAATTCTACAAATATTTTCTTCCAAGCTTTAGCTTCTGTTTTTATTTTAAGATGATATCTTTGAAGAACAAAAATCTTAAATTTCAATAAATTTAAATTCATATTTTTTGCTTTATGGTCTGTACTTTAGTTGTCAGATCTAAAATATTTTTGCTGTGTCCAGAGGGATGATTATGTTTTCAAGTGCTTTCTTCAGTGGGTTTTACAGTTTTGTTTTATTGCTTGTGGTGGTGCTGGATATTGAGCCGTCCCAGGGCCCTGTGCCTGTGAGGCCGGTGCTGTACATGGAGCAGCCTCCCCCAGCCCTACTGGAGCCTACGTTTTCATTCTTTAGATCCACGATCCTGTCCTTTTCAAGTGAATCCTTGCACATGCTGTAAGGTACAGATTGAGGTTCTTTTCCCTCCAGCATATGTATAGCTAGTCTTGTGTACCATCTGTTAGAAAGACTGCCCTTTCCTCATTGATGTACCCTGACACCTTTGTTTAATATGAACTGACATAGTTGTATGGCTGTGTTCTGTCCCATTGTTCATCCTATGCCCATATCCCATTCCTTTGATTCCTGTTGAGTTATAGTAAGTTTTGAAGTCGGTAATATAAGTCTTTTATTTTTTGATACAGTTTTAAAGTAACCTAGCTCAGAAATTTCCTGGCAGTCCCCACATTTGTACATCTCTCTAGAGAGTTAACTGGCAGGCAAAGCTATGAGGACATTCTAGGAAAAAAATCAGTTCTGTTTGTGGTAAAAGTGGGCGGGGCTGAACTTCTCTTTTTTCTGTATTTTGTTAACTGTCCAAGCCAGCAGTGTGTAGCATCGCAATTACAATGCCTGCTGTATACCAGGTGCTTTAATTATCTCATTTAATATTTCCCAGATGCTACAGAGGGCATTATTATTTTTATCTCAAAGTTGAGTCCACATACCTACCCTATGCTACTAATAATAGTAGCATAACTAACCTGTAATCTTTATATAGCACAGAATTTAAAATATGGTCTGTCTGAGGATGCTGACCCCTCCTTTCTTTCAGTTGTTTTGTGCCTTCTAACATGGACCTCTTCTTTGTTTAAAGGAGCATATGTTCCCACCCATAGGTGGAAATGGTGGTAGTGGTAGTTCAGCAAGAAGACGTGCTCTATCCCCTCTGTCTTTGCTCCTGTCACTGCCAACCTAGGGGCAGTCTTCTTTCCTTCCCTTGAAGCCCATCCTAAAGGGGTGTTGTGTAAACTGTTAGAACTGATAGAAAAGTAATAGGATGCTTATTTATTAGAGTTTTTATTACTTGTACCATTGATTAAATGACTACTATTTCAAGTAACATAAAACGGTTTGTAAGTTTGTGTTTCTGTTTGAATTGTTCTTGTTTAAAATTTACAAAAGGCATCTTAAACATTGGATGTTTGGAAATACCTTTATTTTTGGTATATCTTCCTTTAACATAAGGATTGACACTTTGCTTCATGTTATATTTGCATATTAATAAAGCTTATCGGATAATAGAGCAAGCAGTAATACTTTAGTATCATCAATCCTGCTAAAACCACAAGTGTTGGCTCATGATTGTTGCTTGTGTGATGTTCTTGGACAAATGAGTTCTTGGTGTGGAATTATAATTGGTTTACATTAGGGCAGCATAATGTGTACATTTACCCAGTAGTGCTAGAAAGAATTGATGATTCCACTTACATATCGGCTTGTTGCACACTGATTGCCACTTGAGCAGAATACAGTTATTTCACTTACTGTGATACCTTATCTGCATACCAGTTTGCCCTTTTTTGTGAATTATTTCTAATAGCCTATCTCCATTTTAGTATGTATGATGATTTTAAGATTGATTTTGTACTGATAAAAATTAAAATGCAGTTTTATCTATTTTTTCCTCTTTCAACCACTTAGATTTTAAAATCACATGTTCCAGTGTTCTAGAAACAGTAAATTGCATATTAAGTTAATATTAACTTTTCCTGTTAGGTTCTGTTTACTCTTCTAAAGAATAAAGGGCTTTTAAAAGAATTAACACTATTTCAGTTTAATAATGAATCCAAATTGTAAATTATTACTGATTGATATTCTCCAAAGTAAAAGAAACGCTTACAGATCAGTTGTAAAAATATTCCTTGAAGCTAAATCCAGTAGTATTTAATGTTATTTTTTAAAGTCACATTTTCAATACCACTACTAGTAGCAACCACTCCGTTATTCTTATATCTATAAAGTAAATGACTGTAGTAAACATTATAGATAAAAAACTATGAGCATGTATTTCTTCATATTTTTTCCTGTCCATCTTGGAAACAAACTTCTTGTATGGTAAAGGATCAGAGAAAGCATTGCAGGCTTGGCTACAGCTAAGCTCCTCATTCTGGAGTACAGACCCGTAGGAAGCAGATCTTACTGCTCTTCATTACCGACAACGTTCATGTCTTCCTTTTTTAAGGCACCTTTTCTCTACAAAATTATTGTGATTGTCATACACAATATTTTTACTCCTATAAAGACTTTTTTGATAACTATTTAGTCACTTTGTACTTTTAAAAATAGTTATTGTGTAGATTTTTGTTATAGTAATTTCAAGCTTTTCAGTTTGTATTATATAAGTAAACTCTAAATCATGGCAAATTAAGGTTCTTACATGAATTTTATTTATTTATTCAACAAACGTTTACTGCCTGTTACTTTTGTATTGGGTCCTGTGTGGCTCTGGCACTACGGTGTGGTACTGAGTACTGCATCTAAGGCCTCCTCTGCTTTACGCAGCTTTCAGGGAGAGCTAGTGTAAATAGACAAGCAGTGGGAAAGTAATCATGGGAACTCAAAGTGTGTAGAAACCTCATAATTCATAGTAAAATGTTGCTCTGTACTTTTTACACTGCCTTATACAAATATAAGAAATGCAGCAAGTCTGTATCTAGATTTACAGTGCAATTTGACAGAGCCTGTTTTTAGTGGATATTTTTATGCTGATTTCAATTAACTAGTATTTGTATATTGGTGTAAAATCACATCTGCTTTAAGGATTCTGCAGATTTTACTCATGTGTGTGTGTTTGTTTGTATTGCAGATTTCTTTTGAATTTGGCTGTAAATTTATAGATCTTCTGCCCTGTCTACAGGCACAGGTGAGTTAAAGTTTGAATATTTTATGTTGGAGTGTGTTGATGCTGATTTTTTTAAGAAAATTGAAATATTTTTAAATTATCATTTTTATACTTATGAAAAACAATAGCTTAAAGTGAATGAATTAAAATAAAATATTGTGTATTTGCTTATGTTTTTGTTTCATTATGAAAGTACTTTATAAGTGTGTTGGAAATAACATCTGCAGGTAAAATTATTGTATCTGTGTATTGGTATTTAATGTATATTTGGGAAGAGTTTAAGTATACCTTTGGGTAAGTTAATTATAATTTGTTAAATTTTAATTTCTGGCTCTGGCACAATGTTTGTATTTATAGTAATAATGTAAAATAATTGAGTGTAATATTTTCATTTGTTACTAAACTAGCATAGCAGAGTAAAAGAGAAAAGTTACTGTAGATTCTGGCAGCAAATCTCAGACTTGTGGAGGTGGGTGTTTGAAAATGAAATGAATCAACTTTTCTTATCTAACCAGTGTGAACAGCTTCTCAGTCACTCCTAGTAACACCATCTAGATTTGTTTTTGTCATAATATTTATTAACACTTTATATATCCTTATTTATTTCTTCATTTATAGTTTTTCCTCCTACAATATAAACCTCACTAACATTGCGGCCATTTCTGTCTTGTTGAGAATAGTATCCCTGATCCTTAGGGTAGTCCCTGCTTTATAGTGAAGGCTGAATGAGTGTCTGTTGAAGTAGTTATTAGGTTGGAAATACCAAGAATATCTTTATATTCAGTCTTTGAGATCTGTATCTGTAAATCCTTATACTTATTTCTAGATGTGAAGTTAATTTATACCATGTACTTAATGCTCTTAAATGTTAGGAAAAATTCACTGTTGGATATTTTATGTATTCAGATCTGCTTAATCATAGTAGGATTCAAAGGCTAACTCCTGCAATTCTGCATTTATTTTATCACTGCCATGGGAAAGTTCTTAGGATCCAGTAAAGAAAAACGTGAAGGTGTGGCACCTGCTTACCTCCTTACTGGCTCATACTAATGTATTGGATTTGTTTTTGTGATAGCTATGCAGAAAGCGAAGATTTGCAATATGTCCAGTTAATTGTATATAACTTAGTGTTCTGTTTCTAAATTAGGGAACTTTTGAGGGTCATTTTCCTGCCTTATATATTTACTTTTGAGGCATAATTTTATAAGCTGACTGCCCATTTCCCTGTGTGTGTGGCAATTTTCTTTAAGTGTTTCAGTATATTAGTTACTATGAGATCTTGTCTGTTTTGTTTTTTAATCTGTCTTACCTTCTTCAGGCATTCAGCTCTCCTGCTGTCATAATTTTTCTTTATTAAAAAGAACTAAATGTGACTTTTGGGGTTTTGTTCAAGTAAAATTTTAGGGGTTATACAACCATTTCTGTTTTGTATCCCTTACAAGTGCAATTTGAAGAGATTCCACTGATGATAGCAATAAAAACAACTATTATTTATTATTTTCTTATTGTGTACCAGGCATTATATAAGTGCTTCTCGGTTATCTCTAGAATAGCAGATAAGGAAATTGAAGCTCTGAAAGGTTAAGTGACTTTTCCAAAGTCATATTAAGTAAGGGGCAGTTTGCCACACCAAAGACCTTGAGCTTAACCAATGAGTTCCATTTTCTTCCTAAATAGCCCCAGTGACAAGCATAGTTGTGGCAGTAAATATAATATGTAAAAATCATATTCATATTTGAAGACTTTAAAATTACTTTTAAAATCATTATTAGATTCTATTAGCAGGTCTTAACTTTTAACCTCTAACCTGTATTTCAAACTGTGAAACATGATGACTTTTGAAATTTGGTGGCCACTTCAATGGTATAAAATTCCATTGTGGGACTTTCATCTGAGACCTACTTTTAGGGGGCAGAGGCATGAGGGGACAGTCATTTGCATTCTTTTTTCCATTATAAACATCCAATGTTATGAGTCAGCATTCTTTTCTCTTTTATAGTATTAGAAATTTTAGGTTACGGGTGGATCTGTGGTATATTGGGTAAATCACATTTCTTGCAAAGAACAGGTTGTTTAAAATATAATTGCTATAGAATTACTTAGCACTCTGAGATATATGATAATATATCTCTGGCGAAATTTTTTAAATTTAAGGAGTGAAAGTCTTTAAACTTGAGGGTTGACAGAATTAGTTCAAATACAAACTTAAGCTTGTATTTTGTTCATTTTCAAGGCTGAGCAGGACATACTATATAAAAATATTGTGGGTTAGGGGCTGGGGATTTAACTCAACGGCAAAAGCGCCTGCCTGGCAAGCGCAAGGTCGTGAGTTCGGTTCCCGGTACCGGAGAAAAACCAAAACCAAAAAAATATATATATATATTGTGGGTTTTACAGGTACAATCTAATGGACAAAATGTTCTTGAAGACAATTTTATGGAATATACCTTACATTTTTTTATTCAAAACATGATGAATTACATTTTCTTAGACTTTCCAAAGGGTTGTATCTGTGAGTATAAATGCAAATTCCAGATTTGAATATGTGGAAAAGGGAATTTTGTAATGTGATTTAAAAAGGCAAAACTCATCTAACACACTGAGCTGTGTTTTTCAATCTCTACTTAGATCCAGTGTTTCCATTCCAGTCTCACATTTTAAGCATTTTTAGCTAGCCAATAGAATTTACTTGGTATTGATAATCAAAACAGGAGCAAGAGTTAGGTAAATTTGCTTGATATCATAGTCTTCAAATGTAATTTTTCCTTCACTATGGAAAGTGAACTTATATAGACTTTGGGTTTATTTATATGTGTATTTTCTTTATGCTTAGAGATTTGCGTCGGAAAGGAAGGGTGAGGGTGGGCAGGTGAAAAATTATTCATGCATCTAGTGTGGCTCAATTCTTCAACACTAACATATGGAGAAAAATTTTGCTCTGTAGAATAAAGCGTAGTATATTTCATAAGGTACTAATACACTGTGAAAGCACATTTCAAATAAATATCTGTTGGATTTTGAATCCCCTCTTTGGTCATAGATGTACGATATCAGATACTTGATTTTAATTGAGAGATGTAAAGATTCTGGTGAAGATGAGCATTTGTTGTTAAGACATAATTTAGAATATTTTAATATGTAATTTTTGTTTTAAGTAAAATCTGCCCATGTTTAATTGTGTCACTGCTTTTGTGGTACTTCTTTCAAATGTGGTAGGCTTTATCTAGTTTTTTGACAGTTGACAAACAGCCCTCTGTCATTAGCTAGAACCTTAATTTCACAAGGTAGGTGCCATACTTAATATGTAGAATGGCCTGCTGAGTCAGGGCAAATATAGGTTCACTGTTAAGTTGAAATTTCCTTCTGATGGATATAACACAAAACCTTCATTTGGAAACTCTCTGACAGGCTAATTTTGAAAGCATTTTTACCATTTTCTTCGTCTTTTCCCAGTATACCTTAATATGAACAGATTCACTTAGTTTTCCCAATCAGATTCGTCCATACTATAATCTTCCTGTCTTTTCATTCTTTTTCCCATAGGTTATCCCTTGACCAGCTATCCCTCCTTCTTCTAGTCCTCCTTTCTTTCATCATTTGTTTTGTGTCAGCCTGAGTACTGCAGAAAATGTAAAGACGACCAAAAATTATTAGACGGGAAAAGGAGTATCAGTACAAATTTAACACCATTATGTCCTTGTTGCTACTTTTATATAGAGTTTTGGTGTTTCTGATTGTGTGGAATGGAGCGCTGAGGACTGAGTGCTAAGTGTGTATTCTACCCCAGAATTACCCTCAGTGCCCCCTGTGTTTTTCAGCTATGCCTTATTTTCTGAATTATACATTTGCTTCTCTTCAAAGTAGAGGATAAGGCACTAGTAACAATAGAATGTCTGTCGTAAGTGAGTGTGTTCATTGTACAGAATTAGCAGTGCTTTCAGAGTGTGCTTTTGGGAAGACACATATCTCTTAAGGGAGGTGTGTTAGGTGTAATGAGTTTGAGCCAGAGTCCAGGCTGACTTTATTTAGAATGATGGCTTTGTTACTTCCATGTGGACAGATAAGCAAAACGGTACTAATAGACATATTGCATTGCTGAAAATATACCAGAAATATGAGAGAATACTGAGTCCTCTAGTTAATTTAAATTCTGGAATGTAAAAACTTAGAGATAGTAATTTTAAAAACCTATTTTAATAAAATGCATATGACTGTTGTTGGAGTATAAGAAAACTGAGTTTCAGTTTAGAGCTACTTTAAAAAGAGAGAGCAACCTTTATTTTACTTGATATTTTGTAAGTTTGACTTGTGTTGGCATAGCTGATATGCTCTGAAAAATAATTAAAAATAAAAGTTTACCTCTATATCTTATATAGATCTTTTGAGTTAGCATGTCTTAGAGGAGGTAGCAGTCTTGTCCTTCTCTTCAGAGGAATTAGAGTGGGCCATGATTCCTCAGCTGTGCTTTTCTGAATGGCACTAGAGGGAGTAGTTTGCAGCTTGTTAATAAAAGGTATAGCCTCCTTCATTTCTTGTCATTGGTCCTGAGACTTCAGTTTTCACTTACATATTCTGTTTATCTAGATGGTAGAGATGATAGCTTTAGGAGGAAGTTTGTGATGGGCAGAATTTCATAAAAGTGTTAACCACAGTAATGTCAAAAAATTGGCATTTGATTTGGGTCAGTTAGGGTTTTTAGTGTGCTCTTTACTTTCCCTGTTACTTTCAAGGCTGGTGTAAAACTTCACTCAGCTGTCCTTGCCCGAATCCCCATTAAGATAAAATACCAAATAAAATCAGGCTACTTCCATTGAACATCTCCTAGTTTATTTTTGAAGCACAAATCCATATATGTTATTCTGAGCTGTTTACAATGTCTGCTGGGGACAAAGTAAGCATGTATTTATAAAATTATTCATATTCATAAAATTAAGTAGCTTGTTGGTGTTTGTTGTGGCTTTTCTGGCATAAGGATATAGATGTTTCCTCCATGACTTCTATAACTAGCTTGATACTTGGTA